GGCGTTCTCGCCAGATTCTGTGCTGAGCAGGGCATCACCCAGTCCTGGACTCTTCCAGACTCTCCACAGCAGAATGGGGTTGCTGAGCACCGGCTAGGCCTGGTCATGGAGATTGCCCGCACCTCCATGATCCACGCCCGCGCGCCCCATTTTCTGTGGCCCTACGCGGCTCGGTACGCCGCTCACCAGCTGAACCTCTGGCCTCGCGTCTCTCGGCCAGGGGCTTCACCGACCAGTCTTTGGACAGGGTCCCCTGGTGTTGCGTCGAGGTTTAGTGTCTGGGGCTGCTTGGCGCTTGTCCGCGACACCTCTGCGGACAAGCTCTCACCTCGCGGCGTCCCCTGTGTCTTCCTTGGTTTCCCTGAGGCCTCCTCTGACTTCACCTTTTACCACCCTCCCTCCCACCGGTTCTTTGACTCTCGTGACGTCCGTTTCGACGAGTCTGTCCCCTACTACGTCCGGTACCCCTGTCGAGGTCTCCCGGTCCCCCCCCCCCCCTCTTCCTGGCTCCACCTCCTCCTCCTCCCGCCCCTGATCCTCCGGTACCCCCCCCTGGTCCTGCTCCGTCTGGTGTGTCCCACGCTACTCCCCCCCCCTCGGTACCCCCCCAGGTCTCTCCTCCCTCCCCACAGTCGTCCTCACAGCCTCCGCAGCAGCCGTCAGCGCTTCCTTTACCGGCCACTGCGGACTCTGAGGGTGTTGGTGCTCGGGGTGAGGGCTCTGGCGGTGCTCGCTCTGGGGGTGCTGGCGTTGGAGCTGTTAGTGCACCTACAGGAGCCGCCCGTTCTGGGGGTGTTGGCGTTGGCGCTGAGCGTGCACCCGCCGCGGCTGCCCGTTCTGGTGGTGCTGGAGCTGGTGGTGTTTCTGGAGCTGGAGAGTCTGAGGCTGGTGCTGGTGCCACTGGAGGCACCCCGACTGGGGGTGCGGGTCCACCTCCTACAGGTACTAGTCGTGCTGCCGCAGGGGGTACACGCTCTGGGGGTTCTCAGCCGGGTGCTGTTGAGGGTGGAGCCGGTTCTTCTTCTTCGTCTCCTGACACCACTCCTCCTCCTCACCCCTACCTGACTCGACACCAGACCCGTCTTCGTCTTGAGCGTGAGGAGCAGCAGCGTTTGGAGCGTGAGAGGTTGGAGGTTCAGCAGCGGGTGGAGCGTGAGAGGCTGGAGTTGCAGCGGGAGCAGCAGCAGCAGCAGCAGCAGCAGCAGCAGCAGCAGCAGCAGCAGCAGCAGCAGCAGCAGCAGCAGCAGCAGCAGCAGCAGCAGCAGCAGCAGCAGCAGCCGCCGCAGCAGCCGGAGCAGCCTCCGGCCTCTGTTACTGGCCTTCGGGCCCTTGGTCTCCCCTCCTCCTCTCCTCCTGTGTTCGGTCCGACGTTTCCTCCTCCGGACTCAGCTCCGGCTGTGTTCCCTCGTTCTCAGTCTCCTCCGTCTCCCGCTCCGTCTCCCACTCCTCTCTCCCACACTTGGGCCTCTCGTCCTCCTCGTGCTCGTCCCTCGTCACCTGTCCGTGACCTTCGTACCGTGTTGTTTCGTCCTAGTCCTCCTCGTTCTCCTCCGTCTGTTCTTCCTCGTCCTCCTGAGTCGTCCCTCACTGCCTCCCTGTCTACTCCGGTCACTGACTACTACCGCACGTACCGCCCCACTCTCTCTCGTGTTCTCGCCTCTCTTGTTACAGACCCTCGTGCCTCTCCTTCCTCCGTCGCGGTCCTCACTGCCGCTGTCACAGACTTTACTGCTACGCGTCGCCTTGACTACGCCACTCGCGTTGTGGCGGCTCCTCCTGTCCGTCCTCTGTCCGCCGGGGGTGAGTTTGCCCTTGGCTGTGCCGTCCTAGAGGATAGACAGTTTGAGCTAGAGTTCCTGGCAGCCGCTTCACCTCATCTCTGTGCCATGCTGCTCGCTCCTGAGGGAGACCCCGACGCTCCTGACATACCTACTCCTCGCACTTACGCTAAGGCAGTGTCAGGGCCTTGGGCCTCTCAGTGGAGAGCTGCCATGGACGCAGAGATGGCCTCCTACAGGTCCACAGGCACTTACGTTGACGAGGTTCCCCCCCCAGGGGCGAACATTGTTGACGGCATGTGGATCTTCAAGGTGAAGCGGCCGCCGGGATCTCCTCCAGTCTTCAAGGCACGCTACGTGGCTAGAGGTTTCAGTCAGCGTGAGGGAGTTGACTTCTTTCAGACCTTTGCGCCCACCCCGAAGATGACCACTCTTCGGGTGTTACTGCACGTAGCAGCGCAGAGAGACTACGAGCTACACTCTCTCGACTTCTCCACTGCCTTCTTGCAGGGCAGCCTACACGAGGAGATCTGGCTGCGTCGTCCTCCGGGCTTCACTGGCACTTTCCCGCCTGGGACCCAGTGGAGCCTCAGACGACCGGTCTACGGTCTCCGCCAGGCACCCCGTGAGTGGCACGACACTCTCCGCTCTACTCTGTCCGACCTTGGGTTTGAGCCGTCTTCCGCCGACCCGTCGTTGTTTGTTCGTCGTGGGCGCACACCTTTCTTTGTTCTTGTCTACGTTGACGACCTGGTTTTTGCCACAGCCGACACAGTTGCACTGGCGGAGGTGAAGTCCGAACTGCAGAAGAGACACACCTGCACTGACCTTGGGGAACTGCGCCGCTACCTTGGCCTGCAGATCTCCAGGGACAGAGCCGCTCGCACCATCACTCTGACTCAGTCACACATGGTGCAGCAGGTCCTTCAGCGGTTCGGGCTTCAGCACTCCTCTCCTCCTCCCACCCCTCTTGCTGTAGACCACAGACTCACTGGGCCTTTTCCTGACGAGCCGTTCGAGCCCAGTGGTCCCTACGCAGAGTTGGTGGGCTGCCTCATGTACCTGATGACGTGCACTCGCCCGGACCTCGCCTTCCCTCTTAGCATCCTTTCTCGCTTTGTTGCGACAGGGAGACACCGTCCTGTTCACTGGGCGGCGGCTAAGAGGGTGGCGAAGTACCTCGGCGCGACATCAGACATGGGGCTTGTACTTGGAGGGACACAGCCAGTTGTACTCATGGGTCACTGCGACTCCTCCTACGCCGACGACGTTGAGTCACAGAGGTCTACACAGGGTTACTGTTTCAGCCTGGGCTCTGGAGCTGTTTCGTGGAGGTCTACTCGGTCCTCCTCTGTTGCGACTTCTACCGCAGAGGCCGAGATCTACGCTGGAGCCCTCGCTGCACAGGAGCTACGCTGGTTGACCTTCTTGCTCACTGACCTTGGTGAGCGGCCGAGCTCTGCACCGACCTTGTTTGCTGACAACAAGGCGATGATTCTCCTGTGTCGTGAGCCTCGACTGGAGAGCAGAGTGAAGCACATCGACGTCAGGTACTTCCTCCTTCGAGAGTTGCAGAGACGCGGGCAGGCTCGTCTGGAGTTTGTGGCCTCCGAGGCCAACACTGCAGACATCTTCACCAAGGCCCTCCAGCCTTGTGACCACCGCCGGTTTTGTCTGCAGTTAGGCCTCGTTGAGACTGGGTCTAGTTGACTGCTGTAGGGTGCTCTTTGTCTGTTGCTTGCTTGTACCTTATATATATTTGTTTGCACACTTTTGGACTGGCCTTGTGGCCCTTTGCTTGTGCTCAGATTAGGTGGTGACGTTGTGATCCACCCTGAGCTTTGTTTTCTTTCTCTTGCTTTTGACTGGTCTTGTGACCGTAGGTTGCTTGTTGTTGATTGGCCTTCCCCACTTAGGCTATGGGGGTGTGTCAAATATTATAGCCTGTAGTGGGTTGGGCTATATAAGGTACAACTAGTTTGGGGTAGGTTATGTACCCCAATTCTGTCAATGCAACACATTCCGCTGTGATTCTCATTTAGACACTTTTATCCCAGTGGTTAGTGGCTGGGATTCTGGCAATACTCGAATAGAGTACCCCCCCCCCCCCCCCCCGGTATTATAGACCCGGGGGTCTAGAACTGGAGGGGGTCTTATATACGGGGGTTTACAGTATGTACACTTGCTAGGTTGTGATCATTGTATCTCTTGTTTTTTCTTGTACGGTAATAACACTGCATGTGAACTGGCCTTGTGGCCGCTTGCTTGTGCTCGGACTGTGTGGGAGCTTGAAGGCGTATCAGAGTAGGTACGCGTTTTTACTCAGAAAATCTGGGTCTGAAGTATCAGAGTACACTCCCGAAAAAAAAAAAAACAAAAAACTGAAATTTGAGAGAATGCCTTCAAAAATAGCTGGAACTTCAGAGTTAGGGCCCTAAAAAAAAATGAATTTCCATAGTCCACTAAAAAAATAGAAGGCTGAATAATAATAGTTTTATTTATGCAATTCAGAGAAATCTCTGACTTCTGGGGGCCTGATACCAACAAAGAAATTAACCCTTGCTTACACAAACTACCGTACGGTAGTTGGGTGCCTAGCTTGCCTAGCAAACTCAGATGACTAAGCCATGTACACCACTGTCCTAATATTGATATTATTAAATCGCTTCCTTTCTCTATTCATCAAATTGCAGCCAACTTTTTTTTAAACCTTCCCTGTTGACACCCAGTAGCTTCGTAGGATGACGACAGCGGTGGGAACAACGTGTCAGTGGGTAGGTGCAAGTGGGGAGTCATCTCCAGGACTTGGTTGGACTGGGCTGGAGAGGCATAGGGCGAGCAGGCAGGCTTCAAGGAGAGAGCAGAGGCTTAGAGTGTGGCATGATGATCAGAGGGATTGACCAGTGGGTAAGAGGGTGGTGATCAGTGGTGAAAAGGGGAGTGAAGCACAAACGGGGTGTCATCTCAGGGACGAGTGGTTTGACTGGGCAGGGGAGGCAAAGGGCGAGCAGGCAGCCTTGCAGAGCGGCATGGTAATCAACAGGCAGGCTTGAGTGAGTAGTGAGAGGAAGAGGGGTGAGGCTGAGGAACAAGTGCGGTTGTCATCTGAGGGACGAGTGGTTGGAGTGGCAGGGGGAGGCTGTAGGGCGAGCAGGCAGGCTAGGGCAGAGATCAGAAGCGCAGAGTGTGATGGCGCAAGGCGGATGAGTGGGAGTGGGGGTGTCATCTGAGGGAGGAGTGGTTGGACTGGGCGGGAGAGGCGTAGGGCGAGATGGCAGCCCTGCAGAGCGGCATGAGGGACTGCACCACATCATCCATGTGCGGCCTGTAGTCTGGGTCTGCCTGCAGGCACACTGCTGCTACAGAGGCCGCCTGGTGAAGGGAGGCAGAGAGGGGATGGGGGCAAGCAAGGGAGGGTGGGGAATGAGGAGGCGAGATGGCAGCCTTGCAGAGCGGAGGACTGCATCACATCATCCATGAGGGGCCGGTAGTTTGGGTCTGCCTGCAGGCACACTGCTGCCGCTGACGCAGGCTGGTGTTTGGGATGATGTAGAGGGAGAGGAGGATGAGTCTGGATCCAACCTCACCACATGGTCCATGGGCGGCATGAGGGACTGCACCACATGGTCCATGTTCGGCATGAGGGACTGCACCACATGGTCCATGTGCGGCATGAGGGACTGCACCACATGGTCCATGTGCGGCATGAGGGACTGCACCACATGGTCCATGTGCGGCATGAGGGACTGCACCACATGGTCCATGTGCGGCATGAGGGACTGCACCACATGGTCCATGTGCGGCATGAGGGACTGCACCACATGGTCCATGTGCGGCATGAGGGACTGCACCACATGGTCCATGTGCGGCATGAGGGACTGCACCACATGGTCCATGGGCGGCATGAGGGACTGCACCACATGGTCCATGTGCGGCATGAGGGACTGCACCACATGGTCCATGTGCGCCTGTAGAGTGGGTCTGCCTGCACGCACACGCACACCGCTGCCACTGACTCCGCCTGGAGTGTGGGGTAAAATAAGCAGGGGCGGGTGGGTTGAAAGAAATAGACGGCACCAACTCGTGAACGGGGGAAGGCGCAATGCCGTTTAGCCGAGCCACCAGTCCACCAATTCCCACCCACTCCCATGCTTTGTACAATACGGGACAATGCGTTTTTCAAGATCCACTTTTTTTTCACACAATCTTTTCCTGCGGCTTAAGCGTCCTTTTCACGCAGTGCAGCCTTGTGCCAGGGATGAACGAGCTAGTGCAGCAGCAGAGGCACAGTGCCATCCAGCCACTGGTGTCGGGCCTTATGCACCAATGCTCGCCCCCACTCCCATCCCATGTACAGCCCCCCATCCGATGTCTCTATGCACCACCATCAACCACTCTGGACCGTACCTGCATGAAGTGGTGGAAGGGCACGGTGCCATCCAGGCGTGAGTCCAGCAGCTCTCCCAGCGTCGCACAGCAACAACACCACCACCACCCGCCCCACTCGTATGCGCACCATGCCCTGCATATCTCTACGCTACAAGCATCAACTCCCCACCCACCAGCTGCCCACACCCCACCTGCATGAACTGGTGCAGGGGAACAGTCCCATCCAGGCGCGGGTCCAGCAGCTCTCCCAGCCTCTCTCGTTGCGTCAGCAGCGGCAGCGCCTGTTGGGGGGAGGTGGGGCGGCACGAGGAGGGGGGAGGCACGAGGAGGGGGGGAGGCACGAGGAGGTGGGGAGGCACGAGGAGGGGGGGAGGCACGAGGAGGTGGGGAGGCACGAGGAAGGGGGGAGGCACGAGGAGGTGGGGAGGCACGAGGAGGTGTGGAGGCACGAGGAGGGGGGGAGGCACGAGGAGGTGGGGAGGTTGGGTGATAGACAGGCACGAGTCGAAATGAGAGGCAAGGGAGCAAGGTAGTGAGAACTTAATATTCGTAAGTGAAGGCATCAAGGGCTGAGGAGGGCTGGGTGGCAGTGAGACAGGGACAAGTCGCGATCACAGCAGCCCCTTCCTCTCTCCCCCAACCTCCATCATCGTCACAACGACTCACCCAGGGCGTCAGCCACACCACACCACACCCTGTACGGAGGCCTGGCGTGGTCCATGGGGACAAGCCCTGTGAGCAGCTCCAGCAGCATCTTCCGCCCCTCCCATCTCCTCCCCCCCCCCTATTCCTCCCCCCTAAGGCATCACAATGACTCACCCAGGAAGTGAGTGAAACTCTATTGGGAGGCCTGTCGTGGTCAATGGGCACGAGCCCTGTGAGCAGCTCCAGCAGCACGATGCCAAACGAGTACACGTCTGACTTGGGGGTCAGGCGACCCGTGGTAACATATCTGATGAGGTTGAGGGACGGGGGAACACAGAGGGGGAAAAGGAGCATGGGAGGTCGGACGTCACGAGCCCTGTGAGCAGCTCCAGCAGCACAATGCCAAACGAGCACAATGCCAAACGAGCACAATGCCAAACGAGCACAATGCCTGTGAGAGTATTGTACCCTTACAACTCACTCTAGGCACCCCTGTGGTGTGCAACACTCGAATGGACACCCACAGCTTCTTCCCACCAATCCCACCAAGGGTGAGAGGCCAATGTACGTTAGGGTGCTCAGGGTAATATTCCCTTGGCGGTGCTTAAGGTGATTCACCCTCAAATATCACTCACTCTGGGGCCAAGTAACCTGTGGTGCCCAGTACACGTGTCGACACCCAACGCTTCTCCCCACTGGGACCATCCCGAGCCAACCCAAAATCAGCAATGCGCGCATGGAAGCTGTGAGGTTCGGGGGAAGGAAACGCACGGAGGAAAGGGTAAGTGGTGCTGTGAGGCTCAGTCCCCACTGGGGCCGTGCCGAGCCAGCCCAAAGCCAGCAATGCGTGCAGGGAAACTGATGCAAGGGAAACTGATGCAAGGGGAGGGGAAAAGGGGGGTGAGAAGGGGAGCGAGAAAGTGAGGAGAAAGGGACACGTGGTGACGTGAGTCTCGTCCCCACTAGGGCCGTTCCGAGCCAACCCAACCCTAAATTCCGGTGAATGACTGGCGGGTTGGCGACGTGGTGCATGCGGGAACGTGAGTCGCTGTGCGGCGTCCAGATAGGAACCACCTGAGCATTTCTGTGCAGCAGCCCAGCCCACTCACTCGTGGCCCACCACCACGTTGTTGCTACATAAATCGCGGTGAATGGCAGTGGGTTGGCGGCGTGGTGCAGGAACATGAGCCCATCCGGGCAGTGCTTTGAGTCAACTCAATACGCGGCGCGGTGCCATGAGCCCATCCGCACATGAGCCCATCCGCACATGAGCCCATCCGCGCATGAGCCCATCCGCACATGAGCCCCCTAGCAGTTGCCAAACACCAAGGACTCACCTGTCAACCAGTCACCTCGCACTGCAAGCAGGCACCTCGCACTGCAAGCAGGCACCTCGCACTGCAAGCAGGCACCTCGCACTGCAAGCAGGCACCTCGCACTGCAAGCAGCAGCAGCAGCAGCAGCAGCAGCGGCCCACTCACTCGTGGTCCACCAGCACGTTGCTGCTCTTGAAGTCGCGGTGAATGACAGCGGGGGTGGCGGCGTGGTGCAGGAACATGAGCCCCCGGGCGGCGTCCAGAGCGATCTGCATGCGCTGCTGCCACTCCACCTGCGGCCGCTCCCTCCCAAACCGCTGCATGAAGCTTCCTGGAAGGGGGGAGAAGGCCCAGAAAAAAGAGGCAGGAAAAGAAAGGAGGGGGGGGAAAGCAAAAATCGGTGGAAAGGGACAAAAGGGAGATGGGAGAGGCAAGTTGCCTGTGTGGGAGAGGCAATTTGCCCGTGTGGGAGAGGCAAGTTGCCTGTGTGGGAGAGGCAAGTTGCCTGTGTGGGAGAGGCAAGTTGCCTGTGTGGGAGAGGCGAGTTGCCCGTGTGGGAGAGGCAAGTTGCCTGTGTGGGAGAGGCAAGTTGCCTGTGTGGGAGAGGCAAGTTGCCTGTGTGGGAGAGGCGAGTTGCCCGTGTGGGAGAGGCGAGTTGCCCGTGTGGGAGAAGCGAGTTGCCTGTGAGGGAGAAGCCGTGAGGGAGAAGCGAGTTGCCTGTGTTGAAGTTTTAACGTGGGAGGCGAGAACCACTTGCTATCTCTAACTCACCAACACAGTCATTGTGCAAGAGGTTGTACACCAGAAATACATTGCTCTCCAAACCACTATAACGCGTGTAACACATCCTATATATCCATAACACATATCATTCCACACTCACCATCACTGCTGTTATCATGCAGCAGGTCGCTCAGGCTCCCATTCGCCATGAGATTGTACACCAGCACCCTGCTCCCCCCTGCTATGCAGTAGCCCACCAGATGCACTAGATGGGGCGACCTGAGCCGACTCAGCAGCTCCACCTACAAGGGAGATGGGGTGATGGGAAGGAGGGGAAGGAAGAGAAGGAGGAGAGGGAGGAGAGACATGAGATTGTACACCAGCACCCTGTTCCCCCCTGCTATGCAGTAGCCCACCAGATGCACCAGGTGGGGCGACCTGAGCCGACTCAATCAACAGGTCCACGTGCTGCAAGACCAAGGGACGGGGGATGGGGGATAAGGTTGGACGTTGGGGGGAGGTAGACATGGCATGACCTGTGCCTCATCTGTGCCTCATCTGTGCCTCATCTGTGCCTCATCTGTGCCTCATCTGTGCCTCATCTGTGCCTCATCTGTGCCTCATCTGTGCCTCATCTGTGCCTCATCTGTGCCTCATCTGTGCCTCATCTGTGCCTCATCTGTGCCTCATCTGTGCCTGAAACTCCTGATCGCAATTCAGGCCTTAAGCCCGAAACCCCGGACCAAACCCCAAACTCGAGACATATCGTCTCACCTCTGCCTGGAACTCTCGATCGCCCTGACTGCTCCCCGCTTCCAGCACCTTCACCGCCACGCCAGCCCCCGCCAGCCTTCCGCAGTACACGCGCCCAAACCCGCCCGACCCAATCACGTTCGCCTCTGCCAGGTTGTCCGTTGCTCCCTGGAGGGAAAGAAAAGAGGGGGGCAGGGGAAGGGGGAAGGGGGAGGGAGGAAGTCAGCTATGGTTGACCCCTCCAGCCTGCCTCGGTAAACGCGTCCATACCCGCCCGACCCAACCACTGCGACTCGTTATAAGCCGTCCCTCGACATTCAATGAACCACTCAGCAACTCACAAGCCTAACCTCCGCCATATGCCGTCCATTGGCGACTTGTAACGACCCACCAGGCCACTCACCAGCACATCTTCATACGTCAACTCCATCACCGTGTTGCTCAGGCTCCGCCCGGGCAGCATCAGCCTATACTCCGCCATATTGCGCCCCGACTTTGAGGACCCCACAGAGGCCCCAGGCGTCTGCGCGCTGCTATTGCTACTATGAGCCGCGTATCCTCCCCCAGCTCCTCCGCTTCCCCCTTCCCCTCCGCCGATTCTGCCCCCCGCTTCCGCGGCTATAGCCGCTGCTAGCCCCGGGCCTGCCACGTGGCTCATCGGTTGGCTCGGCGTCTGGCTCGGAGTGCGGCTCGGGAACTGGCTCGACATGTTGCTGCCAGGCTCGGCAGCCGATGCGTACGCCGAGGCTGGCGCGTACGGTGACACCGCGCCGCCTTCCACGGTAACGCTTTGCACGCCGCTGTGTGCGGCGCTGTTCGCGCCGCTATGCACGGCGCTGACTGCGGCGCAGCCGCTGTGGTACGACGCACCGCTGTGCGGAATCATCGCGGAAAGGTCGTGCGGGGGAAGGAGATTCGCGCCATGGTCGTGAGCTGGAACCGCGGCGGGCGGAGCGGCAGGGGCGTGAGCTTGTTGCTGATAGGCAGATACTGTGCCTGTAGTGATAGCGTGGGGATACAAGGGGGGGGAAGGGGGGGGGACGGGGGGGGGGGAAGGAAAGGGGGGAAGGGGAAAGAGTGGGCGGAAAAGGGCGCAGGCGGAAGAGGGAAGGGGGGGGAGACGAAAGGAGGGGGGGGACGGATGAAGGGGAGAATGAGACACGGGGCTGGAGAGTAACCGCCTACTTGAAAGCGCAAGCTGTAGGAGCCCAAAATACAACAATGAAGTGCACAACCAGTCAAGGACAGAATAGACCAGAAGCAGTATGAGTCAGCCCGTGATACACAATAGACCGGAATTCAAGGAAAAAAACCAACAAAAAAAGCAAAAAACAATTAAAAACAAAAACAAAAACAAAACAAAAGAAGTACTCACCAAGATCAGCCACCTTTCCAGTCCCTGGCCATAGCCTTCCAAACACTCCCCCTCCACCACCTCCCCTCTTCCCCGCATTCCCCGCCGCGTATCCCGCCGCGGCAACCGCGCCAGATGTCCCGTAACCCTCCCCCCGCCCGTCCGCGCCCGCCGCGACGTCTTTAATCGACGCAAAGTCCTTGGTCTCCGCGCGGCGCCGCCGCAGGTAGATGTAGAGCAGCACGAGCGCGACGCCCAACAGGAACGCGACAACCACGCCCGCCGCTATGCCTACGTATAGCGCAATGTTATTGGTGGACGGCATCTCGGCAGGGGCAGGAGGAGGGGAAGTAGAGGAGGACGGGGAGGAAGAGGAGGTAGAGGCGAGAGAGGAATCGTCCAACGACGCTGTGCTGCTGTCACTGCTGCTGCTGCCGCTGCTGCTGTTGCTGCTGCTGCTGCTGCCGCTGCTGCCGCCACTGCTGCTGCTGCTGCTGCTGCTGCTGTCACTGCTATCGCTGCTCGTGGACCCCGCATTGTCCGGCGGAACTTCTATAGCCGGCGTCTTCGTTTCGCCGGCTGCTGAATGCGGCGGAGAGGCGGTCTCGTAAGAAGGCGCAGACACGGATTTAGGCGGTAGCGACGGGGAGCGGGTTGTACCGGGGACGGGGCTACTATTGGGGGATTCGTCTGTAGGCGGCTCTAGAGGAACAGCGGGAAGACGCACTTTATCCGGACTGCTTTTTGGCGGGATCGTCCCAACTGGCGGCTTGATGGCAGGCGGCTTGGCTGCCGGCAATGGCTTGACGGCAGGCGGCTTGGCTGCCGGCAATGGCTTGACGGTTGGCGGTTTGGCAGCCGGCAAAGGCTTTGTCGTAGGGGGCTCAGCAGCAGGCGGCTCAGCAGTAGAATTCCCCCTTTTGCCTGCCTTCCCTCGTCGACCGTTCTTCCCGCGTCCCTTCCTTCCCGAGCCCTTCTTTCTTCCTGTCTTAACCAGCCCCGGAATTTTCGGGCCCGGGGCGTCTGGCTCCGGTATTATCGAGATGGGGTCTGACGTCAGCGGGGGAGGCGCGCCGGCGGTAAGGTTCGTGGAAGGTGCGACCTCGAACGGGTTTCCCGAAACGTCTAGTGACTCTAACGCGGTCAGGCGGCTGAGCGACGCGGGAAGCAGCCCCGTGAAATTGTTGTTCCGCAAATTGCTGTGGGATTCGGGGGGTCGCGGCAATGACGTAAGAGGATGAGTCGAAAGAAAAAAAGAAAAGAAAGAAAAAAAAAAAAAGAGAGAGAGACAACGAGCCAACTGGAACCTGAACAGAAAGGGCATTTTATCCTCAATGTACAACAACAAAGGAGTGTAGTTATGTCATCTAGCCTTACAGTTTCGTGAGCTCCACGAGGTCGCCGATCGCCTCCGGGATCTCCCCTCCCAGATTGCAGTTCGGCAGCTCTCTGCAGATAAGAGTGTGGGGGGTGGAAGGGGGAAAGGGGAGGGGGGTAGTGGGAGAGGTGGGGAGATGGTGGGGTTTGTGGGGAGAGGGCCAAGGGTAAGAGTGCGAGGGGAGGAGACGGGGTGAGGAGGGGGGCGGTTGGAGAAGAGAGACAAGGGGGGAGAAGAGAGACAAGGGGGGAGAAGAAATACAAGGGGGGAGAAGAAATACAAGGGGGGAGATCACGAGGTTATGCAAGCTGGTGAAACGGTCAGACTGCTAGTCATTTCGCGGAAACGTTTTCTCAAAGATAGCACTCTGATTACACAGCAAATGCCTCGATAAGGCCTTGCAGCGGTTTTGCCGTGGGGACGATGGCCCGTCGGCGATACGACCGCGATGACGAGCCGCAGTGGTGCCGAACCAACTCTTGCACGACTCCAACTTCGACTCCCCGCAAGTCGAACTGTCTACGCCTAATCGGAACTGTACCGAAGCAACTTACATCGCGACAACGGCCCATCGATGCTTCGACCGCGTCGACTCCCCGCAGTTCACGCCGAACCACTCCTTCTTGCACGGCTCAAAGCCCTCCCAGTCCGCCAAAGCCGAAGAGTTGCTCACAGAGAGCTTGAACACCTGCAGCGCGGACACTGGTGTGAGGTGCAGGGTAGGAGGGAAAGATTATAAAGATATAAACCAAACCAGAACAAATGTAGTGTAGGTTTGACAATGTGGTTCTATACAAGCCCTCCAGGCCAAAGCGTTGCTGACGGACAGCTTGAACACCTGCAGCGCCGGCACTGGTGGTTGGAGTGAGGAAGTGGGTGGGTGAGAAGAAATTAGCATCATACAAAAAAAACGGAAAGTGGGTTCAGATTTGTGGTTTGACACAAGCCCTCCAGACCGATGTGTTGCTCCCGGAGAGCTTACACACCTGCAGCGGCGACATTGGTGGTTGGAGTGAGTGGGAGATAGAGGGATACGGGAAAACCGAGGTGTGGGGACGTGGGGTGGAAACCATATAGCAGGGCCTCTGCCAGTCGGTCACCACTGACGCGTCATTCACGGGTAACTTGAACGGCTGCAGTGCGTATGCTGGTCGACCAATGTCGGCGTGTGGGGAAAGAGGGGATGGGGAAGAAGGGGGAGACGGGGAGGGGGGAGGGGGAGAGGGAGGCCTGGGGGAGTAGACTCGATTCCGAAATTCCGAAGTGCATGCGCCAGTTGATGGTGATTTCGTGAATGCGTCGGCTGCATACGTGCCAGTATTTTCTTTCTGTTGCATTGGCGGCAAAGTGATTTCTGAATGAACACACGGGCGTGGTGTGGTGTCTTGGCACACGGGCCGGGGTGTGCAGCAGCCAGATCAGATGCGCAGACTACAACGATATCAACCAGAGGACGAGCTGAATGTCAACCAGAGAAACCTACCGTCTCCCATGACGGTCTTGGCGTGAGCTCTTGAACTCCAATGCGACGCTGCGACCAGCAGCAGCAGCAGCCACATCTGCGCTCCTCGTTTCAGATCCATCACCCTTCTCCGTTGCCCCATCGCGAGGTTATCTGTTAGCCTCCCCGACAACGCCTCCACCCTTCTCCGACAATATGAGTTTTGAGACGACTCGATCACACAGCGTTAACTACTCCCCACGCCTCCACTCTATCCCGAGGCGCTCGGCAGCCTTTTAAGGTCTGATACGTCTTCGACAATCTGCTTGCCTACTCTATACCAGGTCCTCGTAACACCCCTACTAGCATGTGTCACTGACAGAGTTCGTAAAGACAGGGTTGCCTTATTGTAGGCCTTGAGAATCCTGACGAGGACGAGTCGAATTGAGAAAACACCTAAAAACAGCTTTGTGCTGGAAAATCTGGGTGCACCAAGTGATGTCGCTATGCGGTCGTATGTCACTTCACGAAGCACACAACTGAAAGCCGAAGTTTCTTTGTCGACTCAAATATCGACCAGAAAGTCCAAGCCTGGGTTGTGGGGTAGCGAAAAATGGCGGACTCGCTAACGAGAGGAAACTTCAGCCAATCGAGACTTACCTGATGACAGTCGGCAATGGGCCTAGACGATGTCGTGCTGAGGCCAATCTAGAGCATGAGGAGGCCTGTACCATGCCCAGCCGAGGAGGGCTGTTGGCACGAGGGCTGGAGGAGGATTGTTGGCGACCCCGACGTGACGAGTCGCGAGCGAGCAATGGGGAGGAGCAGAGTCAGGTCAGGTTGCAGATGGCTGGACGTGAATCTGCTGACGGTCGAGATGGGAGTTCACATTGAAAATGCGTCTCGGATTGAAAATGCGTGTCAGACGGAGGAGCACGAAGAGTGAAGCTGTTGGCCTGTTGTCAGTTGCTTTGAGCAGTAACATCAGGCATTGAGCTTATAGTACACCTAGATGGTGCCTTACAAAAAGGTAAGAATCTACAGATATATTTGCACTTATAATCACATTATGCGATATTACTGAAACGTATACCCTAGTATGTCCTATGTAAATGGTCAGCTGATTCTCCCGTTATGATCAAAGCTGCTACAATACCCCTATCCCTGTTCAGATATTGCAACACACCCCGGAAGCGTAAGGGACGTGAAAGCGGTGCGACAGTGGCGGAACCGCGGCATCGCCTGCACCACGAGAGCTGATACCAGTAAAGCAGCGGCTGAAACTGGGGCACAAGCGTGGGAGCTAGACCACCAGGGGTACCGAGGGAGAGCAATCAGTGCGCCGAAGATAGAGTTCGCGGAGCGATTTACAGGAATACCGGGCATGGGGCCCATCCTGAAAAATTACGTGATGCAGCTCGAGACGGTGCGGTTGTCAGAGGTCCACTGGTGATCCCCGATTGATCCTAGGGAAGGGTTATAGGCACGTCGGCCTGGGGGGTTATGGGCGCACTCACCCGCTACACAAACAAGCCCTTTTATCCCAGTGGTTAGTGGCTGGGATTCTGACATGGTATCAGAGCGAAGGTCTCGGGTTCGATTCCCGGTGTGTGCACCTCGGGCATCCCAGTGCGGGGGGGTGTCAGAGGTCCACTGGTGATCCCCGATTGATCCTAGGGAAGGGTTACAGGCATGGCGGCCTGGGGGGTTATGGGCGCACTCACCCGCTACACAAACAAGCCCTTTTATCCCAGTGGTTAGTGGCTGGGATTCTGACAGCGGTACGGCTGGGAACGAGACAGGCATGATCCACAAGAGTTCTTCAAAAGGATGGTGTGTACACTAACAGGAGAGGCAGAAACCTTCTACCGGATGACTCAGGAGGAAATCCTAGAAGAGCTCGAGTGTGGAGGGATAGAAAAACCCACGACGCGTTTCGTACAGCTGCTACGAAGAGAGTTCGTAGGCCAGACTAAGGTGCAGATGGAAGAATTCCGGGAATTCCGCAGGAAAAGAGAAGAGTCCCTACTGCGTACTACAGTCGGCTGAAGGAGTAAGCCGAGTATCTGGAAAGTAGAGACGAGCGGCTTTTGGTGAGAAATTTTGTGAGGGGCCTGAAGGAAGATCTGCGAGGCGTTATCAGGAATACAGTCTACGGCATTGGCACCGGTATAACGGTGAAGGAAGTGTATGGGCTCGCTAAGCGTACGAAGCACGCACAGCATATGCTCGACCTAGAAGATGGGGAGGTCAGACCGGAGGCAAAAACTGCTTGGGCCGCGGCAGCCATTCCTGATTCTGCCCTTGCGCCACTAGGCAGAGGAGACCCCAGAAGGTGTCATGGGTACGGAGAGGTGGGGCACATCCGCCGAGGCTGCACCAACACGCCAGAATGTGACCTCTGTGGCTAAGGAGGCCACCGCAAGGAGGATCGCTACAGTAAAAGGAGAGCAGAGGTGCCACGGAGCCGTGAAGAGGTACAGACAGAGCTGAGAAGGCTGCAGCAGCAGCTGGAAAGGACGAGAACTCCCGAGCCCAGAGGTCGTTGTCAAACTATATATGTTATACTTGTGTAGGCTGTAGTGGGATAGCCAATATGGGGTACAACCCCTCTAGGGTTTGCTACTTGTACCCAACCTTCTTTCAATGCAATCATTCTTGCCTAGACTTTCTAACATGGTTTCAGAGCGGTTCGTCCGTTAGGACCGGATTTTTTTTTTTTTGGGCCCACCGAACGCATGCCTGCCTGCGGTTACCGCGCTGCCCCACACGCGCCCTGCCTTGCCTACCCGTCGCGTTGCCCTGAGCCCGCGCCCGGCCCCCTGCCTGCCCGTCGCGTCGCCCTAAGCCCGCGCCCGGCCCCCTGCCTGCTCATCGCGCCGCCCTAAGCCCGCGCCCGGCCCCCTGCCTGCCCGTCGCGTCGCCCTAAGCCCGCGCCCGGCCCCCTGCCTGCCCGTCGCGTCGCCCTAAGCCCGCGCCCGGCCCCCTGCCTGCCCGTCGCGTCGCCCTAAGCCCGCGCCCGGCCCCCTGCCTGCCCGTCGCGTCGCCCTAAGCCCGCGCCCGGCCCCCTGCCTGCCCGTCGCGTCGCCCTAAGCCCGCGCCCGGCCCCCTGCCTGCCCGTCGCGTCGCCCTAAGCCCGCGCCCGGCCCCCTGCCTGCCCGTCACGGTGCCCTTCAGCCCCCGCAACCCCGCCCTACTGCCGCAGCGGCTCCGCCGGGTTGCGGCCCTGACCTGCTACCGACGCGGCCCGCGCAGCACCGCCATACCACCAACGCAGCCCCGCCCTGCCGCCGGCGCAGCCCCGTCCTACCCCTGCCGCGGACCTGCCCTGCCGTTGTCGCGGCCCCGCCCTGCCACCGACGCGGCCCAGCCTGGCCCCGCCTTGCCGCCGACACTGCCCCGCCCTGCAGCTGACGCGGCCTTCCTCTGCAGCCAGGTTTGCGGCCCCGCTGCCCGCCACGCGCCGGCCCTCCCTGCCACCGGTGAGCACGCTGCTGCGCCGCCTGCCTGCCTGCCTGCCTGCCTGCCTACCTGCCTGCCTGCCTGCTGCGCTGCTGCTTCTGCTCCTACTGCTGCTCCTGGCGGTGGCCAAACGCAGCTCCAGTGCCGTCCGCGCGCATCTCTCACGCCCCAGCAGCTCCGTGAGTGGTACGCTAGTTGGGGTTGTGGCGGTAGCCGTCGTGGCTGTCGCCCTGGAGCTGGGCAGTCGGGAGCGTCTGGTAGTGGCCAGCTGCAGCTGCAGCGGCGTCCGCGCGAGACACTTTCGCCCCAGCAGCTTCATGAGTGGTACGCTCAGAGTAGAGGGTCTCGGAGTACCGTTCGCTGCCCGTACGTCATTCGCACAGGTGCTCGGACTGGTCAGGCTTGCGGGACGCCTGGTCACACACAGTCTCGCTGCTTCGCCCGTCTGAGCGACGCCTGGCGTGACGCGGCTGAGCACCCCACCTGGCTAGAGGTGCTTAGGCAGAGGGTAGATATCTTTGCTCTTGACTATGATGCTATTCTCACTGCCATGTATGCGTTGCCTACTAGTGCTGACGGTGCCTGTTACCTGTGCGTACCGCCTGACCCAGGTATAGACCCTGCTGCTCTAGGTGCTGGTGAGGCTGCTGCTCTTGGTGCTCGTGCGTCTTCTGCTCTTGGTGCCCGTCTCTAGCTCCGCGAGCGGTTCGGGACGGAGTTTCCCGTCCTACGTCTGCACTCTGACAGAGGTGGTGAGTTCTCCTCAGACCTCTTGGCAGCCTTCTGTGCGGAGCACGGCATCCGCCAGACGTTCACGCTTCCGGCCTCTCCGCAGCAGAATGGGGTTGCTGAGCGCCGCATTGGCTTAGTCATGGAGGTCGCTCGTACCTCCATGATCCATGCGGCTGCACCCCATCATTTTCTGTGGCCGTTTGCGGTCTGGTACGCTGCGCATCAGCTCAACCTCTGGCCCCGTGTCTCCTTACCGGAGACCTCGCCCACGCTGCTGTGGACGGGGAAGGTTGGCGATGCGTCGCGTTTCCGGGTCTGGGGTGCTCGTGCCTTTGTCCGCGATACCACCGCGGAACAGCTCTCCGCCCGCGCTGTTCCCTGTGTCCCTGACGCGCCTGGTTGGCAGTTTTACCACCCCACCTCGCGCCGTGTCTTCCCCTCTCAGGACGTCACGTTCGACGAGTCGGTTCCCTTTTACCGTCTCTTCCCCTACCACACTGCCCCTCTCCCCCCCCCGCCGCTCTTTCTCGCTCCAGGTGCTCCCCAGGTAGACCCCCTCCCCGCTCCCGGTCCTGCTCCTTCAGGTGTGTCTCAGGTTGACCCTCCTCCCTTGACTGCGCCGGTTGAGGTCACTGGTGACTCAGGTCCTGCTGCGGGTGGTCCTGCTCGGGGTACAACTTCTAGGGGTGCTGAGCCTGGCGGTGCTGAGCCTGGGGGTGCGGAGCCTTGGGGTGCGGAGCCTGGGGGTGCTGAGCCTGGGGGTGCGGAGCCTGAGGGTGCTGAGCCTGGAGGTGCTGAGCCTGAGTGTGAGGAGTCTGGGGGTGCTGAGCTTGGGGGTACTGAGTCTGGGGGTGCTGCACCTGGGGGCGCTGAGGCGTCTCATGAGCAGTCTCCCTGGAGCGGCCGTCTCCGTAGTCGCTCCGCTGGTGCCTCGCCGCTGCACTCTCG